TTTGTCTACTTTTTGTATATTATTAGTCTATATTCTTTGGTGCATTATTTAATTAAATAAAAATTAAGTGCATTACTACCATTTCTTTAAAAAAAGGGTTAACTCTCTTTGACAATTGACAGCAAGAAAAAAGAAGATTGGTTAAATATTTTATTTCTTATTTTTCTTTATTTATAATTATAAAAGTACCTAAAATATAAAAATGGAGATCCTTTTAGGTTAGATTAGATTAGTAAAATGAATAATAATAATATAATAATGTTTCACGGGGCACATGCGAGCAGGTTGTGGGTAGTGTAATTTGTTAGTGTAACATGAGCTAGATGTTCCTCGATTGATTTACAACTTATAATGGCGCAGATAGTAGTTAGACATGGTTCAAAGGGCAATAAAATTTAATTATAAATAGATGTATAATGTTACAAACTTAGAGCTACTTAGGATAAACGAATGTAGTTTTGCATTACAATTTGAAGTCATTCTAGAAAGAAAAAAAGGGGTAATTTAGATTTATTTAGATTTTTTTTTCTTGGTACAAGGTCGGTCAAATTAATCAATCCCATTTTAAATAACAGATAACAGATAAACTGTAAAGTTTACTGAAAAAAAAAACGTTTGAAATGCATTTAGGAGGTTTTAGTGATTACACAACAAAAATTTGAGATTTTTTTGAGATGAGGAAAAGTATTTTTAATTTTAACATAAATTACTTTGCACACGGACTATTCAAAACAAATACTCAATATATTCATGGACAAATCTTTATTTTATTTTATTAAAAATACTTTGCTCAAAATTGTGATTTTTGTATGGGAAAGACTTGTAATATTAACCGAAAGACTGCCGAATTTTGTGAAGATATACACATAATATTGAAAGTTACAAGTATTAAATCTATAGAGGCCCGACATGGCCAGGTGGTTAGGGCGCTCGACTCGCAATCTGAGGGTTGCGTGTTCGAATCCCTGTCACACCAAACATGCTTGCCCTTTCAGCCGTGGGGGGGGGGGGGGTTATAATGTGACAGTCAATCCCACTATTTGTTGTTAAAAGAGTAGCCCAAGAGTTTGTGGTGGGTGGTGATGACTAGCTGCCTTCCCTCTAGTCTTACACTGCTAAATTAGGGACGGCTAGTGCAGATAGCCCTCGTGTAGCTTTGTGCGAAATTCAACACAAACAAACAAACAATTAAATCTATAGACTTTAAATGAATACAAAGAGGTCATGTGGTTGGTCAAATTGACTCAGCCTGTGTTGAGATAATGAAAGGATTTAGAGAAATAAAATCAAGTGAATTTATAAAAACATTTTAAATGTTCGAAGGAACAGAAAGTTTTAAACTAGTGAGTGTAAAGGGTCCAGCTCTTCATTTAGTACTAACACCCTAAAAAGTATCTGCACTTAGTATTTTTCTTTATTTAAAAGAAAATACTGAAATTTCACTGTGCTAAACAAAATTCCACTTAGCTATTACAAGTGATATTTAAACAGGAAATTTTTTAAAATCATTTTTAGTTTTGAGTTTCACTCTTTGGAAATCCATGATGAATCAAAAATTGTGCACCACCTTAATATTTTTGAGTACTACCCTTACTATGATTTTTGTAAGTGATATTTTAGTTTAACTGTTTTTTTTTCTTTTGTTACAATAATTGGTTTTTATATTGATAAAACTTACAAAAATGTATGAAAGCTGCAACCTGAATGAAAGAGATGATGGTGCACATTTCAAACAGTTGTATGGCCAAGACCTAGAAAAATATAGTTAGTGCATAACTTTAGTATCACCTTTATTTTAGAATTATTCTAAATAACTCCTATTTCTTTTTTATCTCCTGTAAAAAGATTGTAAACAATTTTATTTGCGAGTCTCATTTGTTACATGATGATTATGTATGTTCATTTTTAATCTCAAATTAGTCTCTTCTGCATTAAGACTTGTACAAATAAAGCATGGTAAACATGAAACACATTATTTATTACTAATGAACTGATTATTAGTTTTTGCTCCAAGTTTATTTTGTTATAGTTTACTGTGTTTCAGTTAAGACTCAGTATTCATGCATGCACTTGTTCAGTACTAGTCTCTCAGGTTTTCATAATCATTTCACAATGGTTCTGTTTATAAGATTATTCTTTCCATAATTTTGATGTGTTGTAACATGAAATTGATTAAAGATTACATTTCACTAACTTAATCCAGTTCACACCATAACAATTGTTATTAAACAGTTTGCTACTATAAATAGCAAATCAATTACTACTATGTTTGTCATACCTCAATGGCCTGAAGAGCCCTAGTATTGGGTGAAAGGCTTTGTTGCACTGAATACAGTATATGTAATGTGGTTAATATATTAATATATGTTATACTCTACTTTCACGCCAGATTTCTTAATCATAATTATGTGGCATTGTTTATTATAAACTTTTTACCATCTGGATGTGTTGTTCAAGTTAGCATGCTCATAACACAAAAAAGATTGTATAACATAGTTTAATAATAAAAGTGTGTAGTTATTACATCTATAAATATATTATTACATTAAAGCAGCTTTAGAACTTATTAGTGTATAGAATCAGTTATGGTTTTTCTTTCCTTTTCTCGAGGTGAAATAGTGAAACGACGACGTTTAAGAAGCCGAAAAGCTCAACAGGAAAAAAATAGAGAAAAGTATATTGAAATAGAAGAAAGGAAGAAACTAGGAAAATGTAAAGTCTATGTATTTCAAAAATACTGTTAGAGGATAAAGTCTCATTATAACCATTTTTATAAACCAGAGTAAGGGGTCAAACCTTACTGTATAATTTATCACCAAAAATGTTGTCTGAAAACTTTTTTTTCTAACTTAGAGAAAATATTTCTTAGTAGACTTAATGCATTCTTCAACATAATATTTGTTGTGATCTACTGATGCTATACATTCTATGTGTGTGCTTTTTGTTGTTAATATTGAATAGAAAATGTAATTACTTGAAAAATCAATGAGAAATTTATATATTTATATAGACACACACACACACTCTACATTACTTGTGTTTGTTATATCTTGTGGTCTTAGTATATTAAATTATTTTGTATTAAATACAAGGTTAGAAAATAACATATTCAGAGTGGCTGTAGCTTTGCATATAATATTCCTTGCTAAAAGGTCACTGTTGCTTCAAAACTACTAAATTATTATCATTTTACATGGACAGGTGGTTACAGAGCTTGACTCGCAATCTGAGGGTCGCGGGTTCGAATCCCCATCACACCAAACATGCTCGCCCTTTCAGCTGTGGGGGCGTTATAATGTGACGGTCAATCCCACTATTCGTTGGTAAAAGAGTAGCCCAAGAGTTGGCGGTGGGTGGTGATGACTAGCTGCCTTCCCTCTAGTCTTACACTGCTAAATTAGGGACGGCTAATGCAGATAGCCCTCGTGTTACTTTGTGCGAAATTCAAAAAACAAACAATTATCATTTTACAATTAAAAGCATTTACTTACACTTTTCTTTTCTACAAATTTTACCTTAATAAGTAATAAAACTAAAAAATTCTCTTATAAATGATGAAGGTTTTAAATCTTAAGTTAATCTGATTAGGTCCTGGAGCTAGATATCACCTGGACAGCTTACATCACTTCCCAACTTGGACTGGTCCTGAAAACTTCAACTTGGAAATCCAACATTTAACAGACATACCTCCTTCCAGACCAGAAGAAGAATCTATTTCGTCGGAGACATCATCAACAAGTAAAGTTGTGTGTAGTGGGAATTTAAAATTGTTATTAAGAAAATCTCATTTTGGGAATGAACACCGTGAATGACATTCTTCAACCTATACATTTTTTAAGTGTTTACATTTAAAAATGTTCCTTGTATCGTCTGAAGAAGCATTTATGAATGAGTTTAGAAGCTTGTAGTAATAATCACTGGAGTTTGTCAAGAAGAGAAATTCTGTAAATCTGTAATTCACATTAACCCTATGCCATGAGCATTCCTTTACTGTGCATGTCAAGAGGTTTTAGTGATTTACATTCAAAATTTAATTAAACTACTTTTTGTTTGTTATATCAATTAGTATAGCATAAAATCATAGCTAATAATCCATATTTTAATAGCATATCACTTTTAATTTTATAAGGTGATATTTAAAAAAAACTTTTAATTTCTCTTAGTGTGAGAAATGTGACATTTTCTCTAGGCTTCCCTTCTTCTCCATTTTATTCACCACCCTTCCAATAAGTACAAAAGTTAAAGAAAATTACTCGCTATAAAATCATCATTGCTCAGACAAACTAATTTTTATAGCCTCCAATCTTGTTTGGTTACAGAGCCATCAAATAGAAAGTTAGATCCATTTTGTAACATCCTTTCTTTCAGGATATTTTAAATTTAATTCTATATTATCTATAATCAACAGAAAGTCAAGGTTTTCATTTATCAAATGACTTGTTATATTATATTGTGTTCTGAATGTAAAATTGTCAATTTCACTGTTAGTACAAGTTTCATTCCCATGGTAAAGATAATGACTAGCTTGGATGAACTTGTAATGGCTGTTGTTGCATAGTTTAGAAAGCCAGAAAAATTGTGATAGTTATGGGAAATTGTCTGCTTTTTTGCTTATTATTCTATGTTCTCTGGTGCATTATTTAATTAAATCAAAAATTATTTAGTATAAAATAAGTATGGTTAAGTGTCATCGACAGCAAAAAAAAAGACCCGGGTAAGTGTTTTATTTCTTGTTTTTTCTTTATTATTATAAAAGTAACTAAAATGTAAAAATAGGGATCTCTTTAGGTTAGTTAAGGTTAGATTAAATAAAATAAATAATAATATAATAAAAATGTTTCACGAGGCATGCACACAAGCAACTCGGAGTAACTGGTATAACATGAACTCCATGTTTCCCAATTGATTTACAAGTTATAATGGCATGAATAGTAGTAGTTAGTTATGGTTCAATAAAATTTAATTATAAATAGATGTATACTGTTATGAGTTTAAAGCTACTTAGGATAAATGAATGTAGTATCACGTTATAATTCGAAGCCATTCTAGAAAGAAGTAAGGATAATTTAGCTTTTTTTTTTTCTTTTCTTTTGGGTGGTATGAGTTCGGTTAAATTGATCAACATTATATGGAGTTAGGGTAGAGAAAATAACAGATAAAATATAAATCTTATCGTGAAAATCACTTTACATGTGGACTTCTAAAAAACTACTCGATATATTTGTGGACAATTCTTTTTTAATTTTATTAAAAATGCTTCACTAAAAATATAATTTTTTTTATATGTGAAAAACTTGTAACGTTTACTGAAAGTGTGCCAAATTTTGTGAAGATGTACATATTGTATTAAAAGTTAGTAGTATCAAAACGATAAACATGGGTACAAAGAGGTCACGTGGTCAGTCAAATCAACTGAGCCCATGTTGAGAGTTAATTAGCTTGTTACTTGTATGTTGAACTGAAAATGTACAATAAAAAAAATCATAATCCTGTGTGAGAAATAAAATGTATTGCAATAAAAACTTTTTGTTCCTGGAATAATTATGTCATGATGAATGGGTTTTAAAGTAATAGCCTAAAATCTTAAAATATCATCTAAGAGATCCACTCCCAAAAAATCTTAAAATGGACAATAACGATTTAGCTGTGAAAGGTAATGGAGCCTAGAAGTGTTAAATATATTTATGAAGACTTAGCATTGTATAAGAATTTATAACTATTAATCCATCCATCACACTAATATGCTAAAGCTTAAGATTCTAAAGCTTTAATGTTTTTGGTCCCACAGCTGATTTGGTCTCTACTGCAGCCAGTGATTCTCCTCAAATTCACTCTTTTAGCAGCTCTGAAGATAATGCAACTGTCAGACCCACATCTTTTGCTGAGGTAAGAAACATTCTTTTATATATTGTGCTGAATTAAGACCTAACTTTTTCATCCCAGGCAAATCAGAAATATGTAAAATGTTGATTTTAAGTTAGATTTTACCTTTACCAGCTTTAAACTTGAGAGAACTTATTGCTTGATATATGAATGAAATCATACTTCATTGTTGGTAAAAAAAAAAAAGGTACAAAAATAAATGAATATCAAACAAGTTAAAATGGATTTGAAAAAAAAGAATTTTATGATGAATAATTAAAATTAAGTATAAGCTGAAAATAATTGTTTTTAAGGTATTATCAAAACAGTATATCACAACTTATTTTGGACATTTCATAATCCAAAATAATTATACATAAATTTTTTTATGTTGACTAGATACTTGTACCAGGTTTTGCTAAGTATTTTTGCTGTGGGAATGAAAGAATGGGTTTTCAGTGATACCACTTCAGTTAGAAATTTATCTGTTTATCTATCTCTTTCTTTTTTTTTAATAGGGTTTTTGACTTTTCAGATATTAGAATTGAGCAAACTAGTAAACAAGCATGGAAGCATGTATTTGTATGTATCATATAATCATTTTGCAGTTGTTAAAGGGTCATGTTCTGACAGAGAGTATGTCTAATTGGCTAGTGAGTATCAGTAATGTTCCTTGTATAGATACACACACAAAGCTAAGGTTAATTTGCAAAACCATCAGTGTTTTTTCATTTACAACAATGATAAATTTATCATAGCATTTTAGTGGATATCACTAAGTAAGTAAACTAGTCATTTGATCTGGAATGTTTTTGAAAAATGCCCTTTGGATAGCAAGTGATAGGTTGTTGCTGTCCACTATTTATTATTTAAAGGCCTAGATATGTTAAGATAAAAGAGTTTTGATTTCTTTTTGAGACCACTAGTGTTTATGACAGTTCAGTGGTTTCTGGTGGTCAGAGCTGAAGTCTGAGAAACTTCCTAGCATTTATTTCTGCTGTAATTTGAACTTTTACAGTTTAACATATACACCTGGAAAAAAGTTAAGCACCCCC